CTGTCCATTGTCCCCAGAGGCAGGGAGCAGGCCCACCCCTGTGGAGGGATGAGACAGCAGTCTGGCAGCAAGGATCTGACTTCTCCCCACAACCAGAATTATAGGAGACTGAGTTATTATGATCTATTGAATGTTTGATTATCAAAGGAGTAATCAGTAGGGCTTTGTATTGTTCTATTCTTTGTTGAAAGTCATCCTGACTTACATTAATACATTTTCTAGTTTCAGTAAATAGATGTTTATTTGTCCATTTCTTCTAACTATCTGTGAGGAAGTCAGGTCTAAATGATTTGTCTCTGGTCTTGGCATAAGAAAGGCCCGGTATAAAGTTAAATATAAAGCAAATACTTGTTCAACAATTGTTGAAAAATAATGGAATATTTCATTGTTTTGGATTTGTCATTCAGTATATTGATCTCCCCTCCACTTCCCCAGTAAAACGTAGCTTTACCATTGTGTTGTTTAAAGTACATGTTTAGGAATTATATAAAAGTAAATGCAGAACAGAAGTATTATAAGTCCGATACTAGTCCATAAGTCCCTCTTCAGACTCATGCAGGCACATGCAATGAAGCAGAAGGCAGGAGTTTCACAGGCCAGCGATTGCAAAGTGGTGTGGATCCAAGGTCAGTGAAAGCATGGCAGGAGGCAGCTCTCAGAGCCAGCAAGCAGGAAGGTGAAGGCAGAGAAAGAGAAAGGAAGGTTCCCAGGGCACCCCCCTTATGAGAAGTCCAACCCCACAAAGAGGCACCATCAGGCTGTGACTTGATTGACAGGTTGGATACTACCTCTATTCTTTTATATATCTTCAAGTTGACATAAAATTATATAACTACCATAGTACATAATAATTTTAGTGTTATTTTCATATTGTAAATATGTGTTATGTAGCAGAACGGATTTTTTTTATTTGAAATTTGAGAGTGTCATGCTTTGTTTATTTGTTTTGATTTTTACACTTGCTTTAAGTAGTTAGAGGGTTTGAGGCAGGAGGATCTTCTTTAGTTCTATGGCCAAAGTACTTTCCCCTCCCCCCATTCTAATATATCTGCTTTGTTATTTTAAGTGGGCTTCATATTTACATGATTTTTTAAATTTCTTGTTGTCTGTTCAATAGAAAGAAAATTAATTCTTCAAAACATTTTTATTTATAGATTGGTCAAGGAAAAAGTGATGTATGAAAAAGAGGCAAAACAACAAGAAGAAAAGATTGAAAAAATGAAGGCTGAAGACAGTGAAAACTATGCCATTAAGAAGCAGGTAAAACTATATCTTAAACAGTAATTGCTCACATTGATAAAGTACCATATTAACTAACACAATCTTTGTAACAGCTCTCTGTGGTGACATTGTTATTTGGGTTCATTAAAATCTCCACATGAAAAGATAAAGGAAAAAGAAAAAGAAAAAAACATTAAAAAGAAGAAAACACTCCATGTAAAGAGGAAGAAAATGAAACACAGGTTAAATGAGTTGTCCAAGATCACACACCTGCCAAGTGGTGTTACTGGGATTTGAACACAGGTTTTCTTGGCCCCAGAATTTGGTAACTATTAAGTATACTATCCATTCAACCATAAATACACATTTAAATTCATACATATTATGCCAAGCAGATATGAATAGCAACAAAATCAAATATATAGAAGGATAGGTGAAAAAGTATTGCTACTTGGATTCCAGTTCATACGTGCGCTGGTGTATTTCAAACTGCATGTGTAGTCAGTGGGTGGCCGCAGATAACTTCTCTCGTAACAAATTTCTCAGTCTCACTAGGGTGCCTTCAAAAACAGGGCAAATCAGAACAGTGGCACCCGAGATCTCCTGGACCAA